AATTGCTTTTTTGAATAATTTGGTTACTATAGGTGAAACATAATTTTTCATTTTACATAGTATCCCAATGATATCATCTACAGTAAAAGGCTAAATTATGGAACAGATTCCTTATTTCACAAGCAATCCTGGAATAGATCGATCTTTATTTTTGAATGCTGATTTTCAAATTCATGTATGTAATCCACCAGTCTTTTGACAATAAGCAAATTTAACGTGTTAGGAATCACACGTTAAAAGGTAAGACCTCGTTAATCCTTAGCTCGCACAAGTTTCGACTTCTGAGGGTTGTCGTTCGTAGGGGTGCGACAGCTGGTTAACGGAAAAACAGATTTTAAACAGATTTTTTTTTTATGGACATATTTCTCTTGCCCATTGCGAATAACTTCTGGGGTAATTCTGCTGATTGCAACCCTGATTTGATTTTAAAACTCCTCTGAGATTCAATTTCGAATAATCCCACAGAAAAAATTCTAGTGACTTCAGATCTGGATATCTTGGGGGCCACTCTATCGTTCCGCGCCTACCAACCCACTTCCTAGGAAAACCGTTATTCAGAAACTCGCAAGCATCACGTGCAAGCATCATATTGCAACCATATGCTTTCATTTGTTAAGTTAGCATTGTTGGCGATTGGAAAAATGTTTGCATGCGGCTTGCAAGCTACTTGCGAGCCGGTTGTAAGCCCATCACATGGTTGTAACATTGTATGTATTTTGCTCGGGGTAGTCTGGGGTCGCGCTCGTCTTGCCACCATCTAAGAGTTAGGAGACTTTCTATATGTAAGAATTGTGACATTTCACTTCTTTGAGATCCCGCTAAAGCTCTAATCATCTAGGCTACACCAATGGTTTCTTTTCAGATACGAATAGTTCGTATATCTCATACTTGACCTTTCATCTTACCATTTCTCTAAAATGGATGATAAATTAATTTCTATTTAATACGGAGATGGAACCAGAACACAGCAATTGACCTATCACTTGTTCAACAGTGATACAGATCTACTCCAGTTGTGGTAACCTCGAGATTCCTTCAAGGTTCACATCTGGGTCCGTTAATGTTTCTAGTATTTATGAGTGATTTGAAAGATTGCTTCAAGCATTCACAAGTATTATTATACGCTGATTACTTAAAAATCTTCAGAAAAGTAACGACGATTAGAGATTGCTCAAAGATTCAAGAAGACCTCAATGCTTTTTTATAATACTGTTACCTCAAGAAATTGAAACTCAACATTAATAAATGTGCATGTATCTTTTTTTTGTAGAAACAACATACCGTTACATTTTCAATACTCCCAATAATATCGTTAACAGAGTAGACCAAATTAAAGATCTTGGAATCTGTATTGATACAAAAGTGACTTTCAATTCCCATTTGGATTATGTAATAAATTCCAGCAGCAAAACCTTGGGATTCTTCTGCAAAATATGCAAAGACTGCAACAACGAGGCAGCAATCAAATCTATTCAGTAAGCATTTGTTTACAGTGAACTTAATTTTGGAAAAAGTGTCATATGGAGCCCACATTATAATACACATAAACTACGATTAGAAAGACTCCAGAACAGATTTGTAAGGTTTTTGCACTTCAAAATAACGAAGACTTATGGCACTTGGCACTACAAAATACAGCTTTTAGAACAAAGAAGAATGATAACCGACTTAGTTTTCATTTATAAAATTATAACAAACTGTTATGAGTCACCCAATCTAGTATCAATGATTTTTTATCACGTTCCTCAAAAGAACACTAGAAACAGAAAATTACTTGCCAGTCCGAATTTCAACACAAATTTGGGCAAAAACTCCTCAATTACTAGAATGTGTGATTCTTCCAACAAATACTATAGTAGCATAGATGTTTTCTCTGTGGAATTCGTCAAAAATAACTATGAAGAGAATATTCAACACATAGTACGGTTAGTACGAACGAAATTGATTGATTTATTTTTTTTATATCTTGTATCTGCTGACACCGTAACCATTACTATTAGTGAATGCTTCTGCTTGACCTGTTTGTATCCCAAATTTCGAATAAATGAGTGAATAAACTGTTAGTAACATTGGGAATTGACAAGAGAAACTGGTCATGTCAAATATATTCCGAATGCTGGAAGTTCTTCAATGGAACATAACGTTAAACTTGATGTTCTAAGTGGTAGAAAATCGACTAAATGAATCTGATTTTGATAATTGAAATTAAGCCAATAAAAATGAGCTGAAGTAGATGGCATACCACCATATATACTTAAAGGCTGCCGTGGATGGCTAAGAATACCATTCACTCTCTTCGGAAAACTTATAAGTTACTCCAATACATAAATCAAAGAATAAAAAGGAATATAGAGAACTATAGACTAATTTCAATATTATGTTTCCTAGCAAAATGATCAGAACAAAACATTCATACAAATTTGTATCGATATGCCAATAAATATATTGTCTCAAAGTAACATGGCCTAATGGCTGGTGAATCAAATAAATTCAATTTATTTTTTTTCAGTAATGTAGCCTCTGAGTGTTTTAAAAATATGTCTCAATTGGATATAGACTGTACTGATTTCACATTTGATTTGGTACATCATGATGTATTACTGCATGAATTAGGAAAGTATGGAATAATAGTAGGGACATTACACTTATTATTAAACTACCTACAAAATAGATTTTTATGGTTGAACACAATCAAATAATCCCACAAGGATCTAATTTGGAACCTCTATTGTTTGCATTGTTTATTAATGTTCTTTCATTAGTGCGGAATTATTCATACGGATTGCTTTTTGAGGACGATTTTAGGGTTTTTAGAAACATCAAAACGGTTGAGGACTGTATACTCTTACAGAAAGATTTGAACAATATATAGTAAAATGGAGTCATGATAATGAACTTTCATTCAACATAAGTGAACATCATGTTCTAACTATGAATAGAATAAAACACCCTGTTATTTTTGATTACACAATAGATAATGAAGTATTAGAGCATGTAGAGAAAGCTAAAGATTTGGGAGTAACTTATACTTCTACTTTTTCATTTGCCAACCATATTTACAATATTACGAAATCTGCCAATCGGATGTTGATATTCAGGAAAAGCAGGCATTTTACAATTTTACCAGCTATTCAGCCTGTTTGGATGAATGAATGAATAAGTAAAGTGTAGAGAATAATCCTCACAATACTTCACGATAGCAGTTTTTTGGAAGTTCAAAAGTATCATCCGTACAAAGTACAACTACATCAACAACTGAATTAAGATGATCCATGAATTCCATCGCCGCGCCGTATGGAATTTTGCCAAATGATGCATGTAACCGCAATCCAATTCCATATTTATAAAATTGTGTTTTCTGATGAGGTTTTTTTGCCTGAATGGGTCACTGAATCGTCAGAACTGCAGATATTGGGACAGGGAGAAATATTATTGGATGATGGAGGGAAATACTCAACACCCTCAGAAAGTCAATGTTTGGGCAGGATTGTTGACGCTCTAACAAGGGAGCGTTACTTGGAATTCTTGAGAAATATTTCGCGAGTTTCTAAATAACTGTCTTCCTAGAAAGTGGATTGATAGGCACAGAACGATAGAGTGGCCCCTAAGGTCTCCAGATCCTACGCCACTAGATTCTTTGTGTGTTTATTTCAAATCGAAGGTATTGGTATGTGATCCACAAAATTAAGAGTACCTAGTTGAAAAATCGAGTTAGGGTCGAATTTAGCAGAATTACCCCAGAAGTTATTCGCATTTTACAAGAAATATGTATCCATAGATTTGCTCCTTATCAAGAGTCTGGTAAATGACAGTTTGAACATCTCATTCAACTGTTGTATTTTGTTGGATATAAAATTATTCTTCCACTGAAATATTTCTTGGAAGTGTCCCCTTGACTGTAAAATTGATCTGTTTTTTTTTCGATTTCTCAAATTATTTACGGAAAGGAAGCTCTTAAGGGTAAAAATTTTCAAATTGACACTCTGTTTATAATTTTAAGCGAATTATGTGGACACCGTATAAATTGAATAACGTGACTTTTGAATTTCAAGTCCATATCTAAAATGACGCCCAGGCTTTTGGCTTCTGGGACAACCTCAAGTGCATAATTATTTACTTCTACTGTCACAGAGTCGCAAATATCATTTCTAGAGCTTTTCGGTCCAAAAACAAAAACATTGGATTACCTCCAATTTATATTTGAACAGAGATCTGAAACATTTTTCACAAATAATTACAAGTCACTATTAATTTGAGTACAAGCATTATGTATCATTTCATGTGAGAAACTGCAATACAACTGGGTGTCGTCTGCATACAAATGTATACAACAAAATTCTGAACAGTCTGAAAGTTGAGATGGCAAACAAAAAGGATCCCAAAATAGAACCCTGTGGCACTCCACATATCAGCTTTAAATATGATGAGCGATTTCCTCCTATGGTGGTAGCCTTTTGTTGACGGTCGGTGGCATACGATATGATTAGTGATATATCATTTTAGTCTTATATAGCCAAGAATCAATAACACTGAATTGAAGTTAATAGTATCGATCGCTCTACTAACAGTTTAAAGTTATTGAATTGGGGGCTGTTTCACAATAAACGTAAATTATAATTTTTTTAAATTCAAAACTAAATTTAATTTGTGTACATTGAGCCAAATATCTACCTATTTCTTATATATCAACCTCCACTTGTTATATAAATTATCAATCTTGAAATACATCAAAGCAAATAGTATTAATTTTCCAGAAAGGTGTAATTCCGAAATAGAATTTATATAATCAGTTAGCCAAATATATGGAGTGTGAGTTGACATTTGAATTACTCTAGTATCATGTATCTACAATCGGTGAAATGTTGCTAAATTCTCGAAATAACAACTTTTGAACGGACTGGTCTTGCCTCAGATTACAATACTGAAAATTATACTGTAATTTGGACCAAATTGATTTTTTTTTGTCACCAGCAGCGTTTTAAGCAGATGCTGGTACTTACCTTCACAAAATAAGTCAAGTATTCCATGTCAGCTCTTACTCCCTGGTCGTTTCATCATACCAACGGCCACATTTCAACACTTCACTATAAAGGAGGATTTAGATATTTGCTTTCTAATCACTCACAGTTTTTAAAATACAGGCGGGAACGCGGCACTCAACACTTTTGATTCTACAACGCGCACCACGAGTACTTTTAATTAGTGAAGGATTGCAGGAATTTCGATTTTTCCAATATCGCGATAAGTCAGCGTTGACATTTTCCAGTTAACTTTCCGACTGGTTTCGAACTAACACTACGCTTAGCAGAAATCGTCTTTCTGGCTTGCATACCTCATTTTACTGCATTAATCACGTAAATACTTTGAGAATGTGTAGGTTTTCATTCAGGGCGGGCAGGAAGATTTCAGTCAATTGCGCCTAATGATTTTTGTTTTCCTAATTTGCAGAACACAGTAGTAGTATTGCAGGCTTCGATTAATCGAAACCGGGTACTAGTTAATTGTTCCTTCATAACCGTTTCCTTTTCCAAATTAGAATATGATAGTATGTCCAGGTAACTAATTATCTGGCATGTTCGGCACTATTTATAAAGCTTCATTACCACCTGCCAGAACTTTTTTCCACCGCTTTCGCCATTTCCTCATTCAAAATGAACTTCTTTTGAATACAGCCAAAACTAATTGTATAGTTTTCAGAACAGTTAATACTTCCATCATTATTCCAGAGTATGTGAACATGGGCCCTGAAAAGTTGAATTTTTCATCATGTACAAAAATGTTAGGGGTCTATCTAGATGACAAATTAAACTTTGACGTACATATTGAGCATCTTGCAAAAAAACTGGCTAGCAAATGTTATGCAATTACCACTTACAATCAGAGAAGAAGGCAGACGGCAACTTTCAAAATTCTAGTTTTCGATTTTTTGTGAAACCCTATTCGATGCAAGAATTTTTTATGGCAACTTCATGACGATTGCAGAAAACAGAAGAAGGATAGATATTAGTATTAGCCATCAAAATTTTTATAATCCTAACAAATATAGACATGATATATGCGAGAGTATATTTTCATTTTCATTATATTTTGATATCTATATATTTTAGACTAATGCATTTATATCTGAGACACTTATCTTTTTTTTTCTCTTTTTTTTCAATATTGAGTTATACTAAAATGTACTCCCACGAATGTATAAACCTGTGATAATCTTTTGTTATATTTTAGTTATATATTTATACCTTACTGACTTATGTTTTCATATGTTCAATTGAAAACTTCAATAAAATCTATCTATCTATCTATCTATAATCCAGAATCACGAAAGATTCTGTTTTTTTTTTGGATAGGCCAGTACCTACTCTGTTTATCACAATGGAATTACTTCACTTCAGAAACAAAAGTGTAACTGAACATTGAATCATCATTCAATGTTGGGAGAACCGGAAAGTGAAGTGGAAACAAAAATTGAGTGAGTATGAAAAATAGAAAATCAACATGTGCATGAATTGATTTTATTAGTTATGAATAAACTGGTGAGACAATCTAATACATATATGCATTACATACTTGGGTTTATAATTGAAGAAGGAGTTATGGAACCTTGTCAAAGTGCCAAGTCAAAACTTGGCACTTTGTCTAGTTTTGGGGATTCAAAAGTCGACAGGTAGGTACTGTTTAAAAATCGGCTATTTCAAGAACTCACTTCAGATATTGAAAACTCATGAAGTGGTATTTTTTTTTTCGAAATCGCACTTTTTATCCGAGAATAACCCTTTTTTCAAATCATGTTCTATCTATATGATATTGTTACTTCACTAGAGTTTCTGTTTTTCTTTGTTAGCAATAACACGAAAAGTAAAAATTGAGAAATTAAACAAATATTACCAAACTTCGAATATAAAAAGATCAGAACCGGCCTTGCTTAATTTTTTGATAGTCACATAAATATGACAACAAAACCAACAATAAAGCCTTGTGTAAAAGTATCATTCAGTTTCAACAACAATTGTGTTTATATGAGTATGCTATGCAAATTTGAAGATCGATTATACCAATTTTAGTTTGATTCTTTCATCAAAATGTTGTTCCGAGTAACATTTCAAATATATCTTTGTATTGTTTTTTTGTATTATCAATAAAGCCGATTCATTATTATTATTATTATTAAAAAAATCTAACTAGAAAGGTTTTTGTTTCCGTGGTTCTATACAATGAACCAAACCCTTATAATCTCCACTGTTTTGGTCTCTCCTGTGTTATTCAAAAAACAAATTCTATAGTAATTCAAGGTGCAAAAGTAAAAAACAGCCACATGTATCATTTGTATTGAATTTTTTAGCATGAACAATGTTGGTTCATACATTTTTTGATAACTCAGTTCTGTAAAGAAAACGTAGCAAGTTGGGATACATTTCTGACGGACATGTTTCGATCTTATTCTTTATGTTTGGGATACCAATATTGCCAACACACTTTATTTCTTTTTAGTACCTTCTTGCTGAAAGTGGAACTGATGTCATTATCTATCTTGACATAGAGAAACCTGACAAACTAAAATGTGAAGAATAAATGGTACTGTAACTGTGAAATGTAAAGGATGTTCCATAATCATATTATGGATCTATGGATCTTCTTCAAATAATAGCCTAGTCAATCAGAAAATTAAAGGATGTTCATAAATGAGTGATATGGCCTTATTGATTTATGAACTCGTTGGTCAGAACTAAATTCACTCTTCACTATGATATCTCTCAGATAACGCACAGTTAACTTTTCCAACAAAATGCTAAGATTTATGGAGTTCAGTATACAAACACATTTCGAAGATTATCCACCTCATTGTATTATATTCTTAGGAGAATCAAGCAGCCTGAGTCAATCTATTCAAATCTGTCGCTCCAATTCGAACAGCAACCCTCAGAAGTCAGAACTTTTGCGAACTGATGCATAACGAGATCTTACCTATTAACGTAGCATTTCTAGTACGAGTTGGTCGATAAGCAGTAAAAATTGATTGCCCTGCCATACCTCGAACCATCGTTTCACCGTTCAGTCGACTGAATGAAATCTTCCATGAAATTATTCATAAGAAAGATATAGAACCTTACTTTCTTTTCTATAGAAAACTCACGCTTGTCTTTCTATGAAATAATATCCTCATAGACTTTTTTTCATTTTAATGATCTTTCATTAGGGTTTCATTAGTTTCTAGCACATATACCTATGTGATTTTCAAGGGTTCCAGTAACTATGAATGAATCGTAAAAATTAATAAACATGCAGTATAATTGATAAGAATCCGTTCCCAGTTTCATGCAGTCCAGTTGACAAGAACCTGCATGTGGTTTGTCTTCGCGGAACAGCTTTATGAAAATAGTGGCCCGAATGTTGCGTGGAACTGTCAAGTGAGCACGTGGGTGGACCAGTGTTTCTATCTCGGTTCTTCCCCTTCCATTAGCACTACTAGCACCATCTGAGTCTCCCGCCAAGGCAGATTCTTCACACCTATAGCAGGAATGTAAATATCAACAAGACCTTGTTGAGTGATGAATAATAGCGATTTTTAATGGGGTGACTTATCATCATTATGAAGTGGTATTACAGAGCACTCACCTGAGGGATATTTTGGTAAATATAAATTGTTCATTCCTATTTTATCTCTACATGGTAGTAGTCCCTTTTCAAATCTTCTGTCTGAACGCAATGGAGTGATTCAAGAAAAAAGTTCTCCTTCAATAGGTCTACAAAAGCTTCCGCTACTACATATGTCTATATTTTGAGGATAGTTTACTATACCCGTTTTAATGTTCAAAACATATATAATGTGGTAATAGTAAAACTATTTAGGCTGATACAATATTGATTTTCATAGAATGAATACGTTGGTTGTCTTAAGCATTTCATGCACATTATACATAGCTCTTCATAGCATACAATTCAAATAAACATGGGAGGTATCGCAAAATCAAAAGTATCGCGTAAGAAAATGAATTCAAGCGGCCTGACAAACCTGTGCTACACGCGTGATGATGAAAGATTGCAATTGCCTTGATTTCATTTCACTTACTGAATAATTTTTAAGGTTGCGGTACTTACATATTTCAAAGCTGAAATCATACTTTTAATCGATTGAATTTTATCCTACCTACCAATGTGTGGGTGGGTCTAGAGTACTGCTGTAGATTGTTCTATAATAATCTGGGATGTTCCCAGGTATTGTTGTGGAATGTTCTTGAATATTGCCGTTGCTTCCGAACGCTTCTGAAATTTTGTAGATGGCCAAACTTCCAGCACCTATATCTTCCAAAGCACGCCCTTCAGGTAAAAATAGGTACTTTATTCTTAAATAGACAGCTACTACTTCATATAACTACTTTATTCGTTTCACAATGATCTGAGATATTCCAGAATATTCCAGAATGTTCCGGGATATTCTGGTTTGTTGTATCAATCTCTCTAATACTCCCCAAAGCTCTGGACTGTTCTAGAAATTTCTAGAAGGCAAAAATGTCAGACGTATATCTTCACAACCACGCCTTTCTGGTGAAAACGGAAACCTTTTTCAAAGATGGGGAATGAAGGGCTTTCACATCATGTAACTCCCCTGTTCCGGGAAGTTTAACATAACTTCTGACTTGTGATTACGTCTTCTAATTCACATTTCTGAGGCACAACACAGACAGTCTGTTTTAAAGCTCCTCTTAAAAAAAAGTTCTCGTTTAAGGTTTTTCACAATGCCAGTCCAAAATCAATCATTTTGTATTACACCAATAAAAAAAGTTTTCCATCTTCCGTTTTCTTTCAGGCCCTTAACTTGTTCGTTTCTTCGATTTTTGTTTTTGGAAATTCCAGTATATCTTCGTTGACTTCTTCCAAAACTTTATATATATTTTTTCATTTTGGGTTCAGGATTTCTCTTGATCCCATTTGTCCATATCACTTTGAAGCAAGTTTACTTTCTCTATTTATAATCCATTGAGAAAATAACGTTTTGCTCCCTAACTAGATTAATTATCTCTTTGAGTTTCAATTTAGTCCTAACCTGCATTAATTTCAAAAATTCTTGTTATCTCCTCAGGTACTCTCATATTCAGATATTGTAAACGTATTTTGTTTTGTGATGTTTTTGTTCGTCTCATTGCGTTCTGCTTTGATTATTTTTTTTGTATTGGCCAATAGGTCATTCTTCTTTATTTTTTCTTCAATTTATGTTTGTTTGGTAGACTTATGGTGTGTCTGATAGTTTATGTAGTAATATTCGTTTCTCATTAAGTGGATGTTTTCCTTATATCACTGATGATAGTATCTTCATCTACTATGATCTAATTCAGCAGTTCATTTTCTTCTTCAAGCAACTAGTACTAAAACTGAGATTAGAAAGTCATCACTTTGTTTCCTATGGAATTTGTTTTCACTTGTGGCTTTCTTTTTTTGTGTTATCACAGCAACTTCTTGCACAACAATTTACAGAAATTACAATGTTTTCTTTGATCCTAGAATGTCAAGTTCATTTTCGGCCACCTTGTGATCTTGTGATGAATTGAGATTTTTTGAAGATATTTATATACCTCGAGATAAACAATTTTTTTTTATATTTTTTCAAATTTCTGTATTGGAAATGTACAGTTGAAGGAATTTGTCAAAGGTATGTGACGTGACATTTGATAGGATTAGACATAATTTTGAGTGAAATAGACATTGAATAGAAGAGTTTCATTAGCACTCAAATGAAAATAGCGAGACCTGCCAATCGTTCATAACGAATGTCTAATTTCAGTTTCAGGACATTGAACATATCAAAAACATGTTTCTAACATTCACGAACTCCTTTTTTAGCTGTTTCCTTCAAGTACTGCTTCATCTCCACCATGGGGCCATTGAAATTATTTGCATCTTGTGATATAGGGATTATCATAAGACCGTAAAGTGGACATTTCTTCTATTCTACTTTTTCTACTCACCTTCGATGAAACACAATCCATCTACGAAAGAAGCGATGATTTCAGATACTTGTAAAAAGCATATTTATTGGAGCATAAGTAAAAAAGTTTTTTAGATTACTTCCGTTTTCAAAAAAAATTCATAAAAAGAAATCAGCAGCTCATAACTGGTAGTACCTTCGAAAATATAGTGGAAGGATTTCTGAGCAACAAGAAATTTGAAATTATATAAAACTTCACAATTAAACTCTACAAAAAAATGTGGGTTTTTTCAACATTTGCGCCCAATAAGCGACAAACAAAACATCAGTTGGAAGGAAATGAGATACCAGAGATACTGGAATACTTTTATGTTGAGAGACTACTGTTGGTAGACAAAATAATGCTATAGAACAGAAGAAATAAGTGAAAGCTTTTTCTGGTAAACTTTTATATTTCACTCTCTTCCTTATACTTAGTATGAAAAAATTGAAAGTTGTCAAAAAATATAAACAAATATATACTATATGAAGGCTTCATCAGTCGTGTTCATACACGTGTTGTGGTTTTGTAAACTGTCTCCACAGTTGACAAAACAGTGTAAATCTCACAATAATATCTAACTGAAACATAAAAATAATCATGAAATTCTAAATTTGCCTGCAATGAAATGATTAAGTTTAATGAGCAATTTTCAAAAAACACTGAAAAATACTAATCAAAGGTATTTCACATTTGTTCTGTTTACCGATAGCCATCTCGATTTCGGACAGGTTGGAGCCTGGCTCCCTCACCCTTTGGACTGATGTTCGTCAGGAAGACCAACGGGTCAAGACTGATTTATGGGATGACGGCATGAATGTCCTCAGACATCAGTAGCCCCCTTCACGTGGCTGGGGTGTTTGGATGAAGATATTGTTCATCTTTCAACGGGGGACATGAGGGCCTAACTCGACAAAGTGTCTGGACCTTCTATATCGGGAGGGGTCGTCTTCAGCATAATCCATAGCTTCCCTTACTAACGGATTATCGTGGGTATCTGCGCAATCAAAGACTTGCCGATTCCTCGACTGAATGGACTGCTTAATGGAAGGTAGCTGCAAATCTCTGCGGACGGCTTCATTCCGCACGAACCAAGGAGCATTCACAATCATCCTCAATAACTTATTTTGCAATACCTCCAGAATGGAGATATTATACGTGGCCGCTTGTCCCCAGACGCCTGAAGCGTACATGATGACAGGCTTTAACATAATTTTATAGATCGTAATCTTGTTCTTAAGTAAGGCTTGATTTGGAACGTCTATTGATCCGACCCTCGATCTTTGCCTTGACGATTGTAATGTGCGGGTTCCAGGTGAGCCTGCGGTCTATTAGAAGGCCGAAGTACTTTACCCGCGCTTGCCAGTCGATCTCCCTTCCAGAGATCCTCACTTTTCTGGCCGGAGAAGGTATCGTTCTTCCCATGGTTATCGCCTGGATCTTGTCCGGGTTCACTCGGATCTTCCATTTGAAGTACCAGCGCCCAAGGTCGTCCAGTGCGCGTTGCATGTAGACGACACCAAGCTCTCGACCCATGGAAGATGTGAGGAGGGCCGTGTCATCAGCGTACAGGGATACCTCCACATGCTCAGACCTCGGAAGGTAACTGGTCTAAAGTGAGTACAGCGTAGGGAAGAGCACGGCCCCCTGTGGCACTCCAGCGAGAATATTTCTGTTGTCAGACAGAGAGCCCTCTACTCTAACCTGAAATGCTCTGTCTTTCAGGAAAGACACATTCCACCGGATCAGGCCCCGAGGTAGGTTGAACGCGATTAGTTTATGCAGAAGGCCTTCGTGCCATACACGGTCGAAGGTCTTCGAAATGCCTAGCAAGACAACATGAATTTTTTTGTTTCAATTTAGTTCCGCGATGGTGTTTTCGACCTATCTTAGAGCCTTCAACTCAGTGGAGTGTTATCTCTTGAAGCCAAATTGTTCATCAGGCAGAACATTTCGGTCTTCGACTTTGTCGTTGAGTCTTTGTAGAACGACTCTTTCAGCCAGCTTAGCCGCCGACGAGAGCAGACTAATCGGTCGATAGTTCTGTGGGAACAGCTGGTTCTGACCCCGTTTTGGGATCATAATAACGATCGCATGCTTTCACCTTCTGGGGAAGTGTCTCAGGGCCAACGAACTATTTATAATATGCAATAGGCATTCGACGCAGTTGTACGAGAGCCTCTTCAACAACCTATTGGTTATTGAATCGACCTCCGGTGCTTTCGTGGCCTTTGCGGCACTGATGTAATCCTTCAGAGCTTCCACAGAAGCCGGACGGATGTAATCATCATCATCCTCCCTGAGGATATGGTAAACCCGATCTTCCAACACCACATCGCGGTCGATGTCGTCATCGTCGTCAAGTTGAAACTAACGTTCCATCGTGTTAGCAAAGGCTAACGCTTTGTCGGCGGGGGAGTAGTATACTCCGCGCTCTCCGTGTATGGGTGAGGGAGCAGTATTCTTCCCTTTGAGTCTGCGGGTGACTCGCCAAAGCTCATCATCCCCAGGCGGAAGGGATTCCAAGAGCTCCGCCCACCTTTCGTTTCGGTGATCAATGATGGCCTGTTTGACTTGGTTGGCCATCCTGCCTGCCGCAATTTTATCTCCCAGGAAATTGTTCTGTTTGTATTCAAGAAAAATCAGCTCTGAATTTGTATCGTTTAG